TTTTGTCTTTTTCCGTGTCCGGCAATGGATCGCAACCCTCAGTGTCGCGCCCGTACCGGACCGGGACCGGCAACGGGATCGCAGCCCTCGGTGTTGCTCCCGCGCCTCGCTCAGCCAGTGAGCGGGAACCGGTCTGTATGTGGGATCCGAACCCTCAGCGGGAGCGCCGCCACGCTTCCCAAGTGGCACACTGTAGCAGTGCGCCACCAGGCCGGCCCGGCCCTTTCAGTTTTAAAACATCCCAGCTTACTGAAACGATGGGTCTGAGGGTTGTGGAGGGCTTTCAAAAAGAGGAAATACCTATGAGGCAAAAGAAAGCAAAAAGAGTGTGCACATCCTAATAATAGGAGAAGTGATCATTTGCATGTATTGAATTCAGCGACTTTGAAATTCATTTCCGGTGTTAGCTTCATAGTGGGAGGCCACATTTTGCTTTTTGGATAACTCATGTAATTAGTTACATCCCCCTAAATAGGTATTTAGGGTTGAATAAGAGAATAAAAATAAAGGAAAGAATAAAAAGATGGGATATCTTTTTTTTTATATTTATTAAATATAAAAGCAATTTATACTGAGTGTAGAAAACTACATTTCAGATCTTAGGAAATAGATTAAATAGTGAATGAACATATAACAGGTATAAATATATACCCACATATTCAGAAGTGCAATAAATGTTCAATTTATTTGTTCCTTAAATGAAATTAAATGCCACTCTAAGTCCTCATCTCACTGAACAGACAAGTGACTTGCATGTTGACATTTGGTGGTACTGAGGGTGGGGGGTGTTTTGCAGGACAATATGAACTTTCACAGGTTTTATGAGACGCCAAAGCATCAAAATGACCTGATGTCATCATTTTTCGCTGATTATTTCTAAGAAGACCATGTTCCAATATGAATGACCCCTTTTGTTCTAGCTCTGCTATTTTTGTGCCACACTTAACAACAAAACCCATTCTGTTTCTTTGCCACCTTTGAATTATACACACCTTTGTTGAAGCTGGGGTAATCTGTAAGTAGGATCTAGCATCCCTACGTGCATGACAAAATCTTCTGTGCTAAAACCTTGCCAACTTTGCCATGGAAAGGGCTATGACTACCACCAACACATGCAAATGATCACTTCTCATATTGCTAGGATGAGCACATTCTTCTTTCTTCCTGTTGGCTCATAGATGTGTTCCTCTGTTTGAAATCCCTCCACAACTCTCAGAACCATCACTTCAATAAGCTGGGATGTCTTAAAAACTGAAAAGGCCATTGATTTCAAGGAGGTTCATTTTGTTTTGTTTTATTTTGTTGCAACAGTCCTTCTGGAGGGAAGGATATCAAAATGGCCTATCTTACCTGAAAGAATGGTTAGAAAATATAGAAAAAACAATTCCACTTGCTATAGCAGCAAATAATCTTCACCTTGTGAACACACACAGACACACAATATCGAAAAATGGGACAGCTATCACACAAGAAAAAAGTGACAGCGAAAGCTCCCTTTTATTTAATTCCTGTTATTTCAGATTTACTGAAAACACAGCACATATATGTCCTTTAATGAAAACAATAGAGATGGTGCTATTTACTAAATAAAGATATACAGATTCAAAGGAGGTAAGAAGGTAGAATTATACACTACAAATGTTTGACCAAGATTTTAGAACTGTAATATCTCCAGCACTAATACCCCATTGCACACCATGCCAATTCATGGACAGAAAAATGGAATGTCATAATAATGTATTTTCTTGTTTGTTACCATAAGAAAGAGAACAAGTACTCATATTCTTGATACCTGAGATTTAAAAAAAAATCATAGAGAATTAAGTAAATAAATAAGGTTATATTAGAAAGGTTATAAAAGCTCATTAGAAAGAGTTTGGACTCAAATTCTAAACTGAGGCATATACAATCCCCAAAAGGATGACAGACGTATGTTTTGTTTCTTCTGTTTC